GTAACATTTTTGAAATAGTTACTAAAAGTTTCATCATATATAATGGTAATGATATTATGTATTTGAAGAACAAAGAATTTTCGTGGTCTATAAAGCTCTTTCATTTCTCTTATCACATTAGCTAGCATAAGTAATTACAGACAAGGTAACTTAGAGATGAGAATGCAGATATCTAAATAAATTACAAATTTAAAAGCACTTAGGTATATACCAAGCATATCCTTTGATACTTTTGTTCAGATTCAGATTTAGACGCAGATTTTTCAAGGTATCATTCTGTTCTTGTTTAACTCTCTCATGATTTTTATTTACATATTATTTGAAAAATAGATTATTTGTAATTATAAGGAAAATTAAACTTAATTGAAGTTTTTGAAAGTAGCAGTAGATAACTGAAAGATTTATCGTAATAGCTGGCACAATTGTTTCTCAATTAATAAGTAAAACAATTATGTTTTTATATAGGCTAACCCAAAATATTAAATATTGAATATATTTTTATTTAAGCAAGTATTTATGAGAAATCTTAGAGATTTACATTTTGCAATGTGTACCAAATATTCTCTGAATCTCCTGTTGTGAATGATCATATTATTTTATACATTTATGGAATGAAACTCTGTAAGGATTTTTTGCTGAGCTGATATATATTTCCTGGCTTTTCTTCTCTTCTAGGAAGCATTACTCAATTAGACCAACAAATAAAGTATAACAGCTCAAATAACTTTTCTGTTAAAACTGAATTTATGAAAACAAATGTCAACTTTATAAGATCATAGTCAAGTATCAGTTTTTTATAACCTTAGAATAAAATTAATATGAATACTAAAACATGCAATTTCTCTGACTTTTTACTATTATTTTCAACATTGACTTATGTTACACTTAAAATTTTCCAACAAAAAATTTCTTGGCAGCTAAATATATCAACCAATTAATAACAAAATTAAAGAAACTCATTGATAATAATACAATAATAGTAGGGGACTTTAACTCCTCATTCACGGCAACAGACAGATCATCTGAGCTGAAGATCAACAAGGAAACAGGGCTTGAATGACACCCTGGACCAGATGGACTTAACAGATATATTCAGAGCATTTCATACACATTCATCTTGAGTGCACATGGAACATTCTCCAGAACAGATCACATACTGGGTCACAAATCAGGTCTCAATTGGTACAAAAAGATTAAGATCATACCATACACATTTTCAGACCAAAATGCTATAAAACTTGAGGTCAACTACAAGAAAAAATTTGGAAGGACCACAAATACATGGAGGTTAAATAACATCCTACTGAAGAATGAATCGGTTAACCAGGAAATTAAAGAAGCATTAAAAAAATACATGGAAGCAAATGAAAATGAAAACACAGCAGTGCAAAACCTTTGGGATGCAGCAAACGTGGTCCTAAGACGGAAGTATATAGCAATACAGGCCTTCCTCAAATAAGAAAAGTCTCAAATACACAACCTAACATTACACCTAAAGGAGTTGGAAAAAGAACAAAAAATAAAGCCTAAATTCATCAGGAGAAGAGAAATAATAAAGATTAGAGCAGAAATCAATGACATAGAAATAAAAAAACAAAACAAAACAGTAGAACAGATCAATGAAAGCAGGAGTGGTTCTTTGAGAGAATTAAGATTGATAAATCCCAGCCAGACTTATTAAGAAGAAAAGAGAAAGGACCCAAATAAATAAAATCGTAAATGAAAGAGGAGAGATCACAACCAATATTGAAGAAATGCAAACAATTAAAATTAAGAAATGTTTGAGGGGCGACTGGGTGGCTCAATCAGTTGGGCGTCTGCCTTCGGCTCGGGTCATGGTCCCAGGGTCCCGGGCTCCCTGCTCCGTGGGAGACTGCTTCTCCCTCTCCCACTCCCCCAGCTTGTGTTCCCTCTCTCCCCGTCTCTCTCTCTGTTAAAATAAATAAATAAAATATAAAAAAAAATAAGATGTTTGATAAATGTCTTTTTTTATTTAAATTCTGGTTGGTTAACATACAGTGTACTATTAGTTTTAGGTTTAGACTTTAGTGATTCATCACTTACATACAACACCCAGTGCTCATCACAAGTGCCCTCCTTAGTATCCATCACCCATTTAACCCATCCCCTTGCCCACCTCCCTTTTAGTAGCCCTCTGTTCTCTATAGTAAAGAGTCTGTTTTATGGTTTGCCTCTCTTTTTCCCCCCACTGTGTTCATCTGTTTTGTTTCTTAAATTCCACATGTGAGTGAAATCATATGGTATTTGACTTTCTTTGACTGACTTATTTCGCTTAGCTTAATACTCTCCATAATATGCTCCATCCACGTTGCAAATTACAAGATTTCAGTCTTTTTGGTAGCTGAGTTATATTCCACTGTATATGTATATACCACTTCTTCTTTATCCATTCATCAGTCGATGGACATTTGGGCTCTTTCTATCATTTGTCTATTGTTCACAATGCTGCTATAAACATTGGGGTGCATATATCCCTTCAATTCAATATTTTTTAACCTTTGTGTAAATATCTCATAGAGTAATTGCTGGATCATAGGGTAGTTCTATACTAACTTTCTGAAAAATCTCCATACTGTTTTCCAGAGTGGCTGTACCAACTTGCATTCCCACCAACGGTGTAAGAGGGTTCCCCTTTCTCTGCATCCTCACCAACACCTGTTGTTTCTTGTGTTGTTGATTTTAGCCATTCTGACTGGTGTGAGGTCGTATCTCATTGTAGTATTTCCCTGATGATGAGTGATGTTGAGCATCTTTTCATGTGTCTGTTAGCCATCTGGATGTCTTCTTTGGAAAAATGTCTATTCCTGTCTTCTGCCCATTTTTTAACTGGATTATTCATTTTTGTGGGTGTTGAATTTTATGTTTTTTTAATATATTTTACATACTAACCTTTTATCAGATATGTCATTTGCAAATATCTTCTCCCATTCTGAAGGTTGTCTTTTAGTTTTGTTGATTGTTTCCCTCTCTGTGAAGCTTTTTATTTTGATGAAGTCCCAATAGTTTTTGTTTTTGTTTCTCTTGCCTCAGGAGACATGTCTAGTAAGAAGTTGCTTTGGCTGATGTCAAAAAGGTTACTGCCTGTGTTCTCCTCTAGGATTTTGATGGTTTCCTGTCTTACATTAGGTCTTTCATCCATTTTGAATTTATTTTTGTGTATGGTATAAGAAAGTGGGCGTTTCATTCTTCTGCATGTCACTGTCCAGGTGTCCCAGTACCTTTTATTGAAGAGACTTTTTTCCCATTGGTATTCTTTCCTGCTTTGTTGAAGATTAGTTGACCATATAGGTGTGGATTCTCTTCTGGATTTTCTATTCTGTTCCATTGATCTATGTGTCTATTTTTGTGCCAGTATACCATACTGTCTTGATCACTACAACTTTGTAATATAACTTGAAGTCCGGAATTGTGATGCCTCCAACTTTTCTTTTCTTTTTCAAGATTGTTTTGGCTATTTGGGGTTTTTCGTGGCTCCTCTACAAATTTCAGGATTGTTTGCTGGTGGTATTTTGATAGGGATTGCATTAAAGAAGTGGAAAAACATTTCATGATCGTGGATTAGAAGAACAAATATTGTTTAAAAGTGTCTATACTACTCAAAGCAATCTACACACTTAATGATAAATTTCTAATGAGATTTCATAAGGTGATGATGCAACTGAAAATGATCAAAATTATTAGTCAGGCACTTTATTTTGGCAGGATGCTTAACAGGTTTTGTTAGTTAATTGCTTCACAACTGCCAGTATTGGGGTGATCACCTCTCTTAATTAGGTAAATAGGTCACAATTCATTGCATATCTAGCAGATTTTTTTAAAGCCAGATCCTCCATTTATCAATGAATTTCTTTATGTAGAGAACTTTGGAAAATTCTGCTTAGATCATTAGGAATTGCACTTGCACTCTGTTACACCTTAGTAGGAAAAACAAAAAGAATTTGCCTATTTTCACTTATTCAAGTAGTTTAGGAAACTAAGAAAACTTCCATGTAAGGAGTTTTTCAAAATAAGTTTCAGTTATCTATTGCTGTGTGACAACCCACTCTAAAATTTCTAGACTAAGTACTAATTAATTATTTCTGATCATTTTGTGTGCTATATGGGCTCATCTGGGTAGTTTTACTCTCCATATGATATAGTTAAAATTACTCATGTGGCTGCCTTCAGCTGGACTTTCTTTGGGCTAGAAGGTCCAAGATGGTTTCTAGTGCTTTAGGGTTTATCCCAATGTGACCACTAAAGATTCAGTAGCCTGGTCTATACTACCTTACAGCTAGATGACTAAGCTCTTAGTAGGAATATTCCAAAAGGACAAGCTCCAAAATGCAAATGCTTATCAATCCTCTGCTTGCATCAATTTCCAAATGTTGCATTGGCCAAATCAAGTCATAGGACCAAGCCTAGGTTCAGTATGGGAGGGGATTGCACAAGGGCTGGTACTGGGAGTTAGACTCATTTAACATTTTACCATGATCTCTTCTGGTCCATGATGATCCACCCCTTCCACATTCAAAATAAATTCATGTCATTTTCAAGGCTCCAAAAGTCTCATCTCTTTATGTCATCAGGCCTAAGCTTGAAGTTTAAGAGCCCACATCTGAATAATGCTCAGTGTGATCCCTCACATGCAGTTACTTGGGCTCAGTTGTTGGGTGTAGAGGCCTATAAACTAGAAAAGTAAATTACCAGCCCTTTACACACGGTCCATACAATGGTAACATAGAAGATAATCACACTAGATAGTGTCACTCAGAAAGGAGGAGAGGAAAAAAGACACATAGAAATTTTGAAATCCAGTCAGGCTCATGTAACCAGTTTCCCTACAGGGAATGTTTCTTGATTAAACTCAGTTCTTCTCTTTATGAGTGGTTCCCCATTACCCTTGGCTCAGCTTGCTGGGCTCTTCTACCCTCTTTTTCAGTAAAAAAAAAAAAAAAAATTGCTTTTGCTTGTAGCTGAGTAGCTTTATCATCCTACAGGGTTATGCAGCAGAGACTGAAGCCTCTTGTCAACAGCTATGGGAGTGAGCGGACAGGGAAGCAGATCCTTTATCTCTAAATGACTGCAGCCCTGGTCAACAGCTTGACTGCAGCCTATGAAAGACCCAAGATTGAACCGTCCTGTTAAGCTTCATCAGAATCTTGACCTCAGAAACTGTGTGAAGTAGTAAGTGCTTGTCACTATAAGTTCCAAGATTTAATTTGTTTTGTACCAATAGCTAACTAACGTATGGACACAAAATACCTTTGCCTTATATTTTATGGAAACAAATTGTGTGAACTCTGTTTTTATATAATATATCCCATTTTAATATAAAATGATGCTTTAGATTTCTCTCCATAAGTTAGATTGATGTTTTAGGAAGATAGCCTTTTTTATCCTTTTTTTTTTTTCCTTAGGGGCCCTGTTAAAAACATCTAATTTAATATAATTACAATGGTCTAATATGAAGGACAAAATACCCAGGATTATTTTTAATGAGAAATGTCTTGCCTACATGGATAAGAAACCCAATATTTTTTTCTGGAAAACCAAAATGAAGATATGAAATAGAGAGATAAATCTTCCCAAATTTATTCATAAATCTAAAGTAATTCCAGGTGTTCCTGGGTGGCTCAGTTGGTTAAGCATCTGCCTTCGCCTCAGGTCATGATCCCAGGGTCCTGGGATCAAGTCCCACTTTGGGCTCCCTGCTCAGCAAGGAGCCTGCTTCTCCCTCTCCCTCTCTGCTCCCCCTGCTTGTGCTCTCTGTCAAATAAATAAATAAAATCTAAAAAAGAGAAGTAAGTCCAAACAAAATCCTAAATAGGAGGTGGGATAATATAATGCATAAAAGTGCTAGCGCTGGGGATGCCTGGGTGGCTCAGTCAGTTAAGCGTCCAACTCTTGATTTTGACTCAGGTCATGATCTCAGGGTCATGAGATTGAGCCCCACATCAGGCCCCTACACAGTGGGGAGTCTGCTTGAGATTCTGTCTCTTCCTCTCCCTCTGCTCTTGCCCCTGCTTGTGTGCACTTTCTCTCTCTTTCCCTTACTCTAAAATAAATAAATATATCTTTACAAAAAAGAGGGAGTGATGGCTTTAAAACCAAATGGCCTGAGCAAAATACTGACATTTACCAGCTCTGTGATAGCAAATTATTTAACTCCCTGTGTCTCAGTATAGTCACCACTATTGAACTGAATAAACAAAACAATCAAAATGGAGTGTCATCATTTTTATTGTGATGAATCTATCCTAAGAAATATTTTCACATTTTCTTAAAGACATATGTATAGAAGTACTTATTATGCTGTTCAAAATAGCAAAAAATTCAAAACAATTTGAATTTCTATTCTTAGGGCAATTGCTAAAGGGATTAAAAGATCCCTCACATAATGATATACTGTGCAGTCATTACAAAAAATGGGTTTCCTATTATGTATAGTGATATGAAAATTGCCCATCTTACATTGTTAAGTGAAAAAAAAGCTTGATGCATATCATTGTGTACACTATCATCCCATTTATTAAAATAATAATAATAATAACTACATCAAAAGAGCTCTCTCACTCTATGTGTGTGTGTGTGTGTATGTATATATATAGTGAGAGAGGCAAATCTATTTTTGTATGAATAGAGACAAGATATGAAAGATTTCATATACAATGATAACAATGATTACCTTAGGGTTGTATGTTAGGGAGGTAGAAGGAGAGACTTTCACTTTCTGCTTTTTATCAACCAGGATTTTCAGGTATAAGTGATAGAAAACTGAAAAAAAATTCGCTTAAACAATAAAGAAGTTTATTAGCTCATTTAACAGGAAAGCTAGAAAGAAACTAGGCTCCTGGGCTGATTGACTCACTGGCTCCATTATGTTACTGAGGAACCATGTTCTTTCCTATTCTTCTGTCATCTACAATTCACACCACCCCTCATGATTGTAGAATGATTGCCAATAGCAGAAAGGGCTTTTTTTCAAGGATGGTAGAAATTCTCTCAACGAAGAACAAGGATTCCAACAGTCCTCTTTTTGTGTTTCAAAGCCAAAGTTTGACAACATAATGAATCTTCAGCCAATTACTGACAAGGCTAATGCTTTTGCAGTTCAACCCATCAGGCTCACCCCTTAAACTCAAGTCAGTTTCATAAACCACATTAGTGCTATTCAACCAACATGTCTGTGATAGTATTGCTTACTACTGCTATTATTATACGATAAGATGAATTACTTTTTAAACTAAAGTTTAAGAAATATTGCAAATCTTGAAGATAATTTTCCGTATGTTTGACTTTCATCCAATGGTCTGCTAAAATTTTATTTAAATCCAGAGAATAGTTCTAAAATTTCTTAGATTATGATAAAGTGAGTACAATGTGGTAAGAAAAGATATTTATGACAGTTTATCATGAAAGTGAAGATATTTTATAATCTGCTTTGTGTAAAATAGTATTACTTTCATAGTTTATATTTGCTTTAAAAAATTGGGAAAGGCACTAGTATACTATTACTTATAAAAGCATAAGGAAGGGGGGTGCCTGGGTGGCTCAGTCGTTAAGCATCTGCCATCGGCTCAGGTCATGATCCCAGAGTCCTGGGATCGAGTCCTGCATCGGGCTCCCTGCATCGGGCTTCCCCGCTTTCCGCGGGAAGCCTGCTTCTCCCTCTCCTGCTCCCCCTGCTTGTGTTCCCTCTCTTGCTGTGTCTCTCTCTGTCAAATAAATAAATAAAATCTTAAAAAAAAAAGAAAAAAGAAAAAAAAGCATAAGGAAGGGATATTTTTTAATACTAAAAAATAAAGAGATGTAAGGTAACAAGTTTCTTCTCACCTTATGTAAATCTAAAAGTTCATAGAGGAGCAAAAAACCAAACCAAAACAAAACAAAAACCCAAAACCAAAAACTAAAACAAACAAACGTGATTCAAAGAGAATTTAAAAGTGATATAAATATCAAATTTTTCAACGCTAATTAAAAAAAACACTCTCAATGTAGTTAAGAAATACTATCAATTAGATCTTTTAATATCTAAGAGGTAATTTCTTTTTTAAAAAATATTTATTTATTTATTTGAATGAGAGAGATCACATGTGAGCGCATGCTGGGGAGGGAGAAAGAAGGAGGGGGGAGAGAAAGCTTAGCAGACTCTGCACTGAGTGCAGAGCCCAAAGGGAGCTCCATCTCAGGATCCTGAGATTACGACCCAGATAACAACCCAGATCACAACCTGAGATCATGACCCGAGCTGAAACCAAGAGTCAGACACTTAACTGACTGTGCCACCCAGGTGCCCCACTAAGAGGTAATTTCTAATAACTTACATATCTTTCACTGTGGTTGAGCAGATAATAAAATTCAGGAGTTGAGAAGGTCAAGATTAGTCAGGAGATTTATCATATAGGATATAATGCTAAGCATTTGTTTGAAAATTCATTTGCTGCTCTCTATGGTAAAGTGGCTTTTAATGAATTACCTACCTGTTTTCTATAGCTAAGCCACAGCTCTACTACAAAGATCTACAGTTATGGTAAATTAAAACTGATTTCTCAGCTCTTGGGGGACCCATGGAATGCCAATTAATAATATTATTATGTGGAATGTGAATTAAGGAAACATTTTTAAGTGGTTGTCTCATTTCCCAATAAAACCAACAGCCATATATGTTACAAAAACCAAATGAATTTAATCAGGTTTATCTCCCCAGTTACCTCTTCTAAAAAACAAAATGATTTTCCCATGATGAAAATTTGCTTTGAATTTGTAATAAGAAATGAAAGAAAACAACAATACTGTCAAGTTCTCATTTCTAGTTTTGGTTTTGTTTGAGCATGGTTAAACAGAGAGCATAATTTAGGAAAGCCTGCATTAATAAAATTCCAAATTATTCCTTAAGATAGTAGTTGGTGAATGTGGCAGACACAATCATCTGTTTGCAAATGTTTAGCGGTGTTAGGCAATATGACCTTAATGCATAGAAATCTAATAGAGGGGCACCTGGGTGGCTCAGTCAGTTAAGCGACTGCCTTTGGCTCAGGTTATGATCCCAGGGTCCTGGAATCGAGCCCCACATTGGGCTCCCTGCTCCGCGGGGAGCCTGCTTCTCCCTCTCCCTCTGCCGCTCCCTCTGCGTGTGCTCTTCTGCTCTCTCTCTGTCAAATAAATAAATAAATAAATAAATAAATAAATAAATAAATAAAAGAAATCTAATCAGAATCTACTAAGCATTTGTGGGTAAGACTAGACTAAATTATTCTATATTCTTCACCTGGCTTCTTAAATTGATACTTTGTTAATAGTATTTCACAAATACATTTTCAAATAAGAAAACATCCTCAGCAGGGAGATGACTCCTTGTAAGGGAACTCTTGAATGGAAGACATCATTAATACTATTTTAACTGCTTCCTTGCTTTCTTCCCCACAGATCTCTTATTTCATAAAGTCCTCCTGAACCTACACCTTCCACCCTCATCTGGTTTACATGCGCCTGCCCTTGCTTCATAAAATGCTGAGAATGTATCTATCACTGGGCTACTAGGTAGATCTAAAAGAATACTTTTCTATATGAGCCTGTGAAGTGACTGCTTCTGAGTTTGGAATGGTAGGATTTTTCTATGAAAATACTCAAAATAGATTTTAAAGTAGAGACTTTTAAAAGCAAAATAATTTTCCTACAAATTACATGGCTACTTTGTTTTTGGAGAAGTTGGAAAGTAAAACACTGCATTTCACAGACTTGCTCAAGAGGGTCTAGCTAGATACATTCTCACATGATTTGGACAGTGAAACCTAGGTGTCATGGCAAGCAAAATCATGGACTTTGGAGAGTATAAAGTCATTTGAGGAAAGCCACACTCAGCTTCCCAGCCTTTAGCTATCAGCATTATGTGGATGAGAGGCAGTTTTGGCAACAGGAGCAGCCTGTTTCCTGGATTACAACCTTAGTGATGGGCCATTAAATTTAGGAATCTAGTGGCTGATACTGACTTCCGTTCCTAGCCTGGTCAACAATATTCTAAGCTACAT